AGAAATCCTGCTACTTATAGAAGTTGTCAGGCATTCCTTTGTGCCCACCGCAACAGGCAGTTAGCATCTTCGTTTAACATCAACTCTACAAGTGCAACATTGCTTCAGTAGTAAATTGAAATGTTGGGTTAGATTAAGTGCTGAAATCTGAGTGAATTTTGATACAAAAGTTTCTCGATTCTGAGGCAACAACACTCCAGACTGAGCCAAGTTGATAGGATAATTAAAAAATCTATATGCAGAGATTCTTTTGTAAGAAAATTTTTCTATTACTTAATGGGACATGGACTGGCCTGCATTTATTGCCCATCTCTAGTTGCCCTTGAGAATGGTGGTGGGTTACATCTTGAACCACTACAGACGATGTGCGTTCAGTAGATCCACAATACTGTTAGGGAGGAAATTCTAGGATTTTGACTTAATTACAGTGAAGGAAGAGCAATACATTTCTAAGTCAGGATGGCAAGTGGCTTGGAGGGGAAGTTGCAGGTGCTGGTGTTCCCATGCGTCTGCTGCCCTTGTCCTTCTAGATGGAAGTGGTTATGGGTTTGGAAGGTGCTGCCTAAGGGTCTCTGGCGAATTTCTGTGGCGTAGCTTAGTAAACGCTGCTGCTATTGAGTGTTGGTGGTGGAGGGAGCTGATACTTGTGGATGTGGTGCCAATTAAGCAGGCTGCTTTGTCCTAGATGGTGTCAAGTTTAATGATTGTTGTTCTAGTTACACCCATCCAGGCAAGTGGGGAGTATTCCATCACACTTTTAACTTGTGCATTGCAGACAGTGGACAGGCCTTGGAGAGTCAGGAGATGAGTTACTTACAGTATTCCTATCCTCTGACCTGCTGTTATAGGCACTGTATTTACATGGCAAGTCAAGTTGAGTTTCTGGTCAATGGTAACCCCCAGAATGTTGACAGGAGGAGGACTCAGTGATGTTAACACCATTGAATATCAAGGGATGGTGGTTAGATTCAAAAACAGAAGGCCATCTGACCTGAAACATTAACTCTGGTTTTTCTTCACAGATGCTGCCAGACCTGCTGAGCTTTTCCAGCAACTTCTGTTTTTGTCCCTGATTTACAGCATCTGAAGTTCTTTCAGTTTTTATGGTGGGTCGATTGTCTGTTAATAGAGATGGTCGTTGCCTGGAATTGTGTGGAGCGAATGTTGCTTGCCACTGTCAGCCCAAGTGTAGATATTGTCCATTTGTTGCATTTGAACATGGAATGCTTCAGTATCTGAGGAATTGCAAATGATGCTGAACATTGTGCAATTGTTGGCGAACATCCCCATTCTGACCTTATGATGGAGGGAAAGTAATTGATGAAGCAGCTGAAGATGCTTAGGCTGAGGACACTACCCTGAGGAACTCCTGCAGAGATGTCCTGGAGCTGAGATGACTGACCTCAAACAATCACAAACATCTTCCTGCATGCCAGGCATGACTCTAATCAGCAAAGAGTTTGCCCACGGATTCCCTTTGATTCTAGTTTTGCTAGAGCTTCTTAATGCCATACTCGGTCTTGATGTCAAGGGCTGTCACTCTTGCCTCACCTCTGGAGTTGAGCTCTTTTGTCCATGTTTGAACCAAGGTTGCAGTAAGGTCAGGAGCAGTGTCCTTCATGAAACCCAAACTGGGCATCGCTGAGCAGGTGCTGCTTAAAAGCCCGATTGACGACACCTTCCATCACTTTACTGATAATTGAGAGTAGACTGATTGGCTGGTTGGATTTGTCCTGCATTTTAGGTACAGGACATACCTAGATAATTTTCCACATCGTTGCCTTATTGCCAGTGTTGTAACTGTTTACAACAGCTTGGCTAAGGGAACGGCAAGTTCTGGAGCACCAGTCTTCATTACTATTGCTCTGAATGTTGTCAGGGCCCATAGCCTTTGCAGTATCCAGTGCCTCTTGTGTTGGCCTCTTCCATCATTGAGGATGGGGATATTTGTGGAGCCTCCTCTTTCAGTGACTTGGGAGGGGGAAGGAAGCTGGGAAATAAATAGAGGGAGGAGGGGTGGGGCAAGGGGAAGGTAGGTGGAATAGTGTTGGGTGGATGCAGGTAGGGGGTAGTGGAGATTGGTCAGTGGGATGGGTGGGGTGGATAGGTGGGAAAGAAAATGGACAAGTTGTGTCAGGTCAAAGAGATGGGGATCAGAGGGAGGGTTGGACGTGGGATGAGGTGGGGGGTGGTGGTGGGGCGGGGGTGGAGATTTTAAAGCTGGTGAATTCCATGTTCCGGCCATTGGGCTGTAGGCTCCCGAGGGGGAATATGAGGTGTTGCTCCTCCAGTTTGCGTGTGGTGCCATTGTGGCAATGGAGGAGGCCCAGGATGGACATGTCATCCAGGGAGTTGGGAGGGGGAGTTAAGATGGTTAGCAACTGGAAGATGTTGTCGATTATTGTGTACAGAGTGCAGGTGCTCCACGAAATGGTCCCCGAGTCTGTGCTTGGCCTCACTGATGTAGAGGAGGCCACATCAGGAGCAACGGATACGGTAGACCAGGTTGGAGGATGTACAAGTGAACCCCTGTTGCATATGGAAAGTTTGCTTTGGGCCTTGGATGGAGGTGAGGGGGGCGGCGTAGGCACAGGTGTAGCAGTTCCTGTGGTTGCAGGGAAAGGTATCGGGTGTGCTGGGGTTAGTGCGGAGTGAGCGCAGTACGAAAGGCAGATAGGGGTGAGGAAGGAAATATCTCTTTGGTCGTGGCACAGCCCATCCATCTTCTTTCCCACCTTTTTGCCCCACCCTTCCTACTGACCAATCCCTACAACCCCCTACCTGCATCCACCTATCACCATCCCACCTACCTTCCCCCAGCTCCACCCCTCTTCCCTGTATTTATTTCCCAGCTCCCTTCCCCCCATTTCTGAAGAAGGGTCCTGACCCGAAACATCGGCTTTCCTACATCTCTGCTGCCTGACCTGCTGCGTTCCTCCAGCTCCACACTGTGTTGACTCTGACTCCAGCATCTGCAGTTCTTGGTATCTCCTCCTTCAGTGAATTGCTTAACTGTCCACCACCATTCACAACTGGATGTTACAGGACTGTGGAGTTTAGATCAGATCCATAGATTGGTGGGATTGCTAAGCTGTATCCATCACTTGCTGTTAGGTATGCAATTTAGTCTTGTTTGGTAGCTTCGCCAGGTTGACACTTCATTTTGGGTCTGCCTGGTGCCCTCCTACACGCTCCATTGAAGCAAAGTTGGTCCCCAGATTTGATGGTAATGGGGAATATGCTGGGCCATGAGGTGGCAGATTGTGTTGGAGCACAGATCTACTGTAGTTGATGACCCCCAGTGCCTCATGGATGCCCAGTCTTGAGCTGTTTGAAGTTTGTTCCATTTAGCACGATGATACTGCCGCACAGCACGATGAAGGATGTTCTCAATGTGAAAGCAGAATGTTGTATCCACAAAGACTGTGCTGTGGTCACTTTTACACATAGTGTTATGGACAGTGGTGAGATGTTTATAAGAATTGCTTTGGTGCTGTGGGACATTGTCTCAGTTATACAGAGAATTGTAAAATCTGGCAGCTCTCATTTCCCACATCATTAAGCTGTAGCACAATTCCCATGCCACCTGCACCCAAACCACCAATGACCCTGTTCATCCTATGGCAAACTGTACCCTTACCCATCCCATCACCTTTCGTCCCCATGATAATCTCTGATCTCATTCTTACTTTTCATAGCTCATAATACCTCCATGCTTAGCTATGTCTTTCCCTGCCCTCCTCCAGTTGCCAAGCTGTGGCACTTGCTTGTCCACACAGCCACCGTACATTGTATGAAAGTTATAGTGACAGCAGAACGTTTTAGAAAATAGGAAAGTGTCATTTTTACTATCGGCCAATAATAACCTCACTAAGTATTCTGGTTTATAAGCCTAAACAACCGTTAGTGTGTTGAATCTGCTGCACCCCAGGGAAGAGAATGTTTGATTGACAGTTCCGGTTTTCTTTTTTAATTACGCAATACTTATTCACCTAAGATAGAGACCTTTCAGTATTTGTCATTTTTGTCGTTGATATTTTGAAGTGTCTGAGAGACTGACACTTTTATGGCTAACTGTATCAGGAGATTTTTTAAAAATGAAAAGTTCTGAATGGTTATTTAAAAAAAAAACACTCATCCTATTGAGCTCTTGGGTTCATTGTTTCTGCATTGTGGGTGAAAAGCATGGAAGTGCCATAGCTTGACGTGGGAAGTTGGCAGAAGGCCATGCCTTGACATGAAAGGCATCAGGCATAATATAGTGGTACAAAACTTGGCATGCGACCTCTGGCAAATCATGTGGGATAGGTGGTGGTGGTTGGGGTGGCGGGGGTTGCGCAGCATAACTCAGCATAGGATGCATGTATAAAAACATTTTAACTTGCATTTCAAAAGATTACCGTTTTCAGGCTGTGGTTTGTGACACATCCTGCGTGCCCTCAGCCATGGGTATTTGAAAAGCTGGTTCGCATGCATGAAAATTGTGGAGTACAAGGACCTGCAGATGCCTGCAAAGGAGCTGGCCAGGTTGGGAGTGCACAAATCATAAACTTGAAGGCTACAGCTGAGGATCAGCAACCTGAGGAATTTTGAACCCTCCATGCAGTGTCTCCAACTCTATGAAAATGCAGTGTGGCAAGAGCCAAATCCATTTTGTGTTGAGCAGTGATGCATTCAGTGAAATTTATTTATTTCTTTGCAAGATTGGTTTTCTAATGAATGCATTATACTAATGTGTTTAAACCAAGTGATATATCTGAAGCCCGATATCAGCAACACACTTGAAGGCTCAGCTTATTTAGAATTTTAATTTAATAATGTTACATTTTATGTGTTTTTAGGGCAGATACTTATTCAAATATTGTTCTTGAGAATTGTCTGCAAATGGAAACTGAATTTCAAATCAATGTCTTTTTCTTTTTAATTTGAGTCTTGAAAACAATTAGCTTCATTTCTATTGTGAGTCATTAACTGTGTAAATGCATTTTAATTTTTGTCAGTGCGTTGGGAACGAACATTGGGTGCTATTGTAAGACAGGAAGATCAACAAATGACACCTGAGGCAGTGCGTGACAGCTGGGACCAAATTTGTGACTTCGAGAATGCTACTAAACCCAAAAGCAACAAAGGTATATATTTTTATTGGAGATTGTGTCAAGTTAGCAATTTGTGAATTCTGAAAATGTTCAGAATTGCCTGGAAACAGATCTGAAATGATATGCAATTAATAACGTGGCTAAAAGAAGGAATGATATTACCAAGTGTAGCCCTTAGCTTCGAAGTGTTATAACCAATTGTAAATTTTAGAGGGTATTTGAAAGAGTGGCTGTAACAATGTGAATCATGAGCATGGGAATTTGATGAGTCGGAATTAAATTCATAGGAGCAAAGGGGGGCTGCTTTTTTTTTTTTGTTCCCTTATTTGTAGCAGTTTGTGTAAGCTTAGACCATAAGAAACAAGAGCGGGAGTAGGCTGTGTGGTCCCTTGAGTCTGTTCCATCATTCAGTAGGATCACGTCACATCCACTTTCCTGCTCTTTCCCCGTAACCCTTGATTCCCCTACTAATTAACAATCAGTTTCTCTCAGCCTTAAGTATACACACGGTCTCTGACCCAAAGCTCTCTGAGGCAAGGTGTTTCAGACTCTCAGCCGTCAGAGAGAAGAAACATCTCCTCATTTCAGTCTTAAATTGGCACCCCTTTATTCTGAGGCTATGTCCTTTGGTCCTATAGACTCTCCTATGAGGGAAAATATCCTCTCAGCATTTACCCTGTAAAGCACCTTAAGAATCCTGTACGTGTCAATGAGATCACCTCTCTTTCTTCTAACCTGCAATGATTAGAGGCCTAACTTGGTTAGCCTTAGTTCATAAGATAAAAACCTCCATACCAGGGATCATCCTAGTGAATCTTCTTTGAACCGCCTGCAATGAAACAATATCTTTCCTTAAATAAGAGAACAAAACTGCTTACAGTGCTCCAGATGTGGTGTCACCAGTACCTTGTACAGTTGTAGTAAGACTTCCCTTTTATACTGAAACCCCCTTGAAATGAGAGCCAAGATTCCATTAACATTCCTGATTACCTACTACAGCTGTGCGCTAACTTTGTGTTTCATGCACAAACTTGAGACAGTAATTATTCAATATTTTGTCCAGTGTTTTAGTACTTATTGTAAATGAGTGCACAGAGAAAGATAAAGGTTGATTGGTTAATTTATTGCAGTAGGTGATTCTGAGAGAGAAATTTGAGACAGAGACATTGAGCTGGAGTACAAAATAATGGAGGTTGGGAAGTATCTGGACAGTTTGCAGTAGATGTTGGTCACCTCTCAGAGATGTACAGGATCACAAAGGGGCTGAAGTGACCGAATAATCTAACACAAATAAGAAGGAGTATGAGGATTCATGGGGATTTACACATTAATTGTTCAGTCTCTCAGTCCCTGCTAGAATCAACAGCTTACATCAAGTGTGGGAGAGAAAACCCAACTGATTTCAGGCTTGAGTTAATTTACTGTATGAGAGGGAGAGTGAGAGAGAGCGTTTCTTCCACTCTGCCCTGTATCATTCACACCCACAAGTTGTTCAGCTGTTCAGGAACAAGTCAGAGTATATTGTCAGGCTGATGATCTTTTGCATCCACAATGGGTCACGACATGATATACAGAATACCATGCAGAGAGTGCAATAAACATTACGTTGGACAAATGGGGAGGAAACTGATGACCAGGATACACAAACACCAGCTGTCAGTAAAAAGACACGACTGATATTCACTTGTCTCGATACACGCAGACAATAAGGGCCATCAGTTTGACTGGGACAAAGTGACTATCCAGTGAAAATCCAGCTCGGTGAGCTAATGAACAATCGGATCACAATTGCAGAAACCAATCAGCTACTTGTTCCTGGCCAGACTTCTGTGTGTGCACATCCTGGTGCTGTGCCATCTTATCTGATTTCTCTTGCAAAGTAACAGACCAAATGCAATTCACAATGAGGAAATGGTTTACAAAAGTGCAGCAGTTTCCTACACAGTCCTTGGTTTTAAAACAATCCTCTCCTAGACCACAATTAAAAGTAAAGAAAAATTTTAAAGATTCAGTCTTTACACCATACAGTTCAATTACCTGTGCAGGCCAAAATAAAATGAGAGTGTTTTGATTGAAATCTATTAGCAGTCAAGCCACATAAAATTTAGCACCGCAATAAACTGATTATGGAGGTGAATACATGGCGCAAGGAATGTGGTGGAAAAGAGGAGTTTAATTTTATTGACATTAGCACTTATACTGGACTAGGAAAGAATTATATTTTGGAACTGACTCCACCAGGTTCTAGTCAAAAGTATAAATAATTGTCACGAGGATTTTGAATAAGTAAATGTGGTGGGAAGAATGGAAGGAGGAGGGGGAGAAGGCAAGTTTAATAATTGGAAAATAAACAAAAAAGAGAATAGAGCAGCTGTTGGAAATTGTTTTGCAAATTACAGATAAAGGGAAATGTAAAAATGTTCAGTAATTAAACCAGGAGCTGTTCTGAACAAGCATGTGGACCATATGAAAGCTGCAAACTCTCAAACGGGCAGGAGCAAAACATACCCACCCCTCAGAACAGCTGAAAGGGCTGTCGGAACTCTTGGGTTCTCCCTCATCCTCAAGCATCCAAAGAAACCTCAGAGCCTGAGATGGACACTGCGATGTCGCAGCCTTGATGCATTTATCGCCTGAAGAAGAGGATGAATTTCTTCTGAGACTGTCTGGGCAAGAGGCAGGCTGCGGTCCGGTACACACCACCCGTATCCGAAGCTGAGGCGGCGGAACCAGATCTGGTTTGAAAATGCCCCAAGAAAAGAACAAGACCAGGCCTGAACTCAGAGGGGGCGGGATGTAGTGATTGTAACAAGGTCAGCCAGATGGACCTCACAGAACAGGGACGGTTAATCTAGTCCAATCAGGGAATCCTGGCTGACAGATATAAACAGAGAGTCAGAGAGCTGGTTCTGAGGTAGGCTGACTAATGTCAAGTACTATGCATGTGTAAATAAAGGATGACTCGGTGACAGGATACTGGCCTCTGGAGTTATTTCAGTAGCCTTATAAGATAACACCTTCATCCTAGGGATCAGCCTGAACCTCCTTTGAGCTGCTGTCAATCCAAGTTTGTCACTCCTTAAATAAGGAGACCAAAATTGCACACAGCATTCTAGGTATAGTCTTGCCAATGACCTGTAGAGCTGTGGCAGGATTTCCCTGCATTTGTACTCTAGATTTTTCAAGTAGAATTGCTTAGGACTGTCTATGAATTGTTGCTTCTAGTATTTACAAAGCAGGTCGTCCAGTGGCTTCACCAAACTAAGACGTTCATTTTTAGTTTATGCCTGTTGTGTTCCTGGCATGCTTTCATTCAGTCTTCATTGATCCAGGGTTGATCTCCTAACTTCTTGGTTATAATAGTGATGAAATACTGGGCCACGAGACTGCCGATTATGTTGGAGCATTATTTTATTGCTGCTGATGACCCACAGCAGCCTAGACCTGAGTTGCTCAATCTGTTCGAAGTCTATACCATTTAGCGTGGCAATTGTGCCTTAAAACTAACACATTTTTTAACCTCTTAATTAATTGCTGTATGTTAACTTTTTGTGATTTACGTACAAGGACAGCTTGATCCGTCTGTTGCATATACTATTCTATTCTTTTCATTGAAGTAAGAAATTTTCTCACTTTCTACTGTCAATTCTGTCCACCCACTCAACCTGTCTATATCCCTTTGCATAATTTTGTGCCCTCTTTACAACTTGTTTCTCTATCTACCTTCCTTTTATCAACAAATACAGTCTGCCCCTACACCTAAGCCATTAATGTAGATTATTAATAGTTGAGGTCCCAGCTCTAATCGCTTTAGTTTTCCAAGATTTAGTTTCCCAACCTGAAGTTGACTCATTTATTCTGACTTCGGTCCAAATATTCCAATCACTAGACAGTTGTTTCAGCAGCTTAGACTGGAGTTGCATGTCAGAACCATGCAAATTCCCAGAACTGCAGCTGACTTTGAGAGAATTCTGGGAAATTGAAAATTCCAGTGGGCAATTCCGCTGCACATGGAAATGTTCAAGAAAGCTCTTTAAGTTCTGACTCACTTAATAGATATCCAGGGAAAGTTAGAGGAATTGAAAACCTGGTCTCAATCTTGGATAGCTGTTAAACTGAACTTCTGACTTGCCAAGGGCTACGCCAACTGCATCCTGCTATTCCCCTAAAACTCCCTGAGCCTCCACTACCCTCTGTGTTGGAGAATCCCAATGCTTCACCACCTCTGTGTAAAATAATTTTTCTTCATCTTGGTCGTCATGGCACCTCCTTTTTATCAAAGTTTCCCCGTTGATTTTAAACTCCCCAACCAAGGAAAACATTTGACCTGCATCAATCCTGTCTATCAGACCCAGTTTGCTGAACTTCGGATGTTCAGGAGATGAAGATGGTGGCCATCAGGTTTTGAGGGACTTGTCTGACATTAGTCCTGCTGGTTTTCCTAGTCTTTTTTTCCAGTCATGGTCATTGATTTAAGTCCCTGTCTCTTTTTTTTCGTTTTCATTGCTTAACTATTCCTTGGATGCTTTTTATACCTTCTACTGTGAAGATAATTACAAAATACTTGTTCAAAGTATCCGCTACTTTCCAGTTTTCACATTATTAACTCTTCAATTTCACTTTCTTTGATTTACTATTTGCTCTCTCTATGTGCTTGTAGAGATTTTTAGTATTTATTTCTTGCTAGTTTAATCTCACATTCTAATATCTCTTTTTAGTCATGATTGCTTAAAAAGATCTTACTCTTCTAGGCAACCATTAATCTTTAGCTTTATATGCATTTTCTCTCACTTTGATCAGCTTTTCAATTGGCAGACTGAACTGAGGTGTTCTGCAAAGCGGTCACCTAGTTTCTGTCTGGTGTCTCTAATATAGTGAAGACTGCATATTCAACTGAGAAATTGAAAGAAGTCCACAAAAATCTCTGCTTCACCTGGAAGGGGTATTTGGACACTTGGACTGTGAGGATGGAGAAAGTGCTAACCCCTGTGTTCATCTTGTATGGTTGCATCAAAAGAAACTGAGTGAAGGGCAGGTAGTGTTGTCCATGATTGGAGTCGACCAGAGTGCCAATGAGGAATAGTATCTATAATATGTTAAGAGAGGAGGGGAAATGTATTTAGCAGTTAACTCACACAAGGGTGGCAGGATGGAGGGGGGTGATCTGCTGAATACAGAGACTAGTGGGGAGGGTAGAGTGAAGAAGAGGAACTTTATCCTGGCTATTGGTGGGAGGAATGTGGTGGGAACAGAGTGTGGGGAATGCATCAGATTCAGTTGAGGGCCCAGCAACCACATTGGGTTGGAGGGGGAATTTAGTGGAGGAAAAAGAAAGACAGATGAAAATTACTTTTGGAGAAGGGTCAAATGGACCTGCACCATACAGGATAAAATCCCATCGATAAATGGGAAAAGCTGTAGTTTCAGAGTGATTCTCCCGAGGAAAGAAAGCTCTCTAGGTGTATTGTGGAGTTCATTGGCTGGAATTGTACATGCCAACACTCCTGGGAGCAAACTGTGAAAGGTTTACAGGATAGACTATCCAAAAGTAGTGTAAAAATCATTGCATTCATAATTGTTTATTGTGGTAGAATTGATGGGGGGGAGCCAGTGGATGTGGTTTATTTGGACTCTCAAAGCTTTTGACAAAGTGCCACACAATGATGTGTAAAATTAAAGCACATGGGATTGGAAGTAGTTAGGATAGTTGATAGACAAGAAACAAACAGTAGGAATAAATGGTTTCAGAGATAGTAGGAGATAACAAGGTGTAGAGCTGGATGAACACAGCAGGCCAAGCAGTATCAGAGGAGCAGGAAAGCCGACGTTTCGGGTCTAGACTTTTCTTCAGAAAATTCTTCAGGAATAAATGGGTCTTTTTTCCAAATGTTAGGCAGTGACTAATGGGCTACCATTAGTGCTAGGACAACAGCTATTCACAATATATGTTAATGATTTTTGGATGATGGAAATGTAATAACTCCAGGTTTGCAGATGACAAGGCTGGATGGGAGGGTGAACTGTGAAGAAGATGTAGAGATAATGCAGTGAGATATAGACAGGCTGAGTGAATGGGCAAATGCGTGGCAGATGCAGTGTCATGTGGATCAATGTGAGGCTATCCACTTTGGTAGCAGAAACAGGAATGTAAATAGTGAGAGGATTCAAATACAGGCACTGAAATAGCTTGCCACATCTGGTCAGGTCGCATCTGGAATAGGGATGTGTTGGTTTTTGTCACCTCATCTGAGGAAGGGTTTCCTTGCTATAACAGGAGAGTAGTGAAGGTTTACCAGACTAATTACTGGGAAATTAGACCAGATGTATGAGGAGAGGTTTAATTGATTATTTTGAGTCATAGAGATGTACAGCGTGGAAACAGATCTTCGCCCCAACTTGTCCATGCTGACCATTATCCTAGATAAATCTAGTCCCATTTGCCACTTGCCCTGGGAAAATAGCTCCAGCATATTCAGCCTCTCCCTATAGCTCAAACTCTCTAGCCCTGGCAACATCCTTGTAACTCTTTTCTGAACCCTTTCAAGTTTCACATCATCCTTCCTACAACAGGGTGACAGTATTCCAAAAGTGACCTGGCTAATGAACTGTACAGCCTCAACATGTCCTCCCAACTCCTATATCCAATACACTGACCAGTAAAGGCAAGCATATCAAATGCCTTTTTCACTATCTTATCTACCTGTGACTCTACTTTCAAGGAACTATGAACCCACACTCCAAGGTTTCTTTGTTCTCTAAGACTCCGCAGGACCTTACCATTGAGTGTATAAGTCCTGCCCTGATTTGCCTTTGTAAAATGCAACACCTCACATTTAACTAAATTAAACTCCATCTGCCACTCCTCAGTCCATTGGCCCATCTGATCTGTACTCTGAGGTAACCTCCTTTGCTGTCCACTACAGCTCCAATTTTTGTGTCATCTGCAAACTTACTAACCATACGTTCTGTGTTCACATCCAAATCATTTACATAAATGATAAAAAAGCAGTGAACCCAGCACTGAGACAGCAAGAACTGAAGAAGGGCCCTGACCTGAAACGTCAGCTTTCCTATTCCTCTGATGCTGCCTGGCCTGCTGTGTTTCTCCAGATTCAGCACTGATCCTTGTGGCACACCACTGGTCACAGTCCTCCAGTCTGAAAAGCAACCCTCCACCACTACCCTCTGTCTTCTACCTTTGAGCCAGTTCTGTATCCAAATAGCTAGTTCTCCCTTTATTCTGTGTGATCTAATCTTGCTAACCAGTGTAACATGTGGAACCTTGTTGAACGCCTTACTGAAGTCCATATAGATCATGTCCACTGCTCTGCCCTATCAATCCTTCTCGTTACTTTTTCAAAAAACTCAATCAAGTTAGTGAGACATGATTTCCCATGCACAAAGCCACGTTGTCTATCCCTAATCAGTCCTTGCCTTTCCAAATGCAGGTAAATCCTGTCTCTCAGGATTCCCTCCAAAAAATTGCCCACCACTATTTTCAGGCTCACCAATCTATAGCTCCCTGCCTTGTCCTTACTACCTTTCTTGAATAGTGGCATCACATTAGCCAACCTCCAGTCTTGCGGCTCCTCACCTGTAGCTACTGATGATGCAGATATCTCATGAAGGGGCCTAGCAATCACTTCCCTAACTTCCCACAGAGTTCTAGAGTACACCTGATCAGGTCCTGGGATTTATCCACTTTTCTGCATTTTAAGCTGTTCAGCACCACCACCACCTCTATAGTATGGACATTTTTGAAGATGTCAGTATTTATTCACCCACATTCAACATCTTCCATACCCTTCTCCACAATAAATACTGGTGCGCAATATTTGCTGGTGTCAGTACAAATGAAGGGAGATCTCGGATTTTATAGGTTTCTCACCGGACTAGACAGGGTGGTTGCAGGAAGGATGTTCCTAATGGCGGGATGTGCAGAACCAGGATTTGCAGTGTGAAGGTATGGTGTAAACCATTTAGGACAGAAATGAGAAATTTTTTCACCCAGAACGTGGTGAGCCTTTGGAATTCCCTACCGAAGAAAGCAGTCACGGCAAAAACATTGTAAAATTTCAATAAGGAGTTTCTTATATCACCTGGGGTTAAAGGGATTAAAGGATAGGGGAGGAAAACAGGGACAGGCTATTGAGGTGGATGATGAGCCATGATTGTAATGAATGGCAGAGCAGGCTTGAAGGGCTGAATGGCCAACTCCTGCTCCTAATTTCTATGTTTCTATTTTTTTTGTTTTACATTGGAATTCTATTTAGTATAGAACAGTTAATATGACATGACCAAGGTGGTATTATAACATTTAATTCAGTTGTGTCTTGAATGTTATAAAGAAAAAAAGATGTGTTTGTAATTTAGTTTCAACATGGGTCAATCAGTATGTCTGAGCATTGATGATAAATCAGAAAATGTACAAATCAGCCTGACATTTGTGCTGGTCTTGTGATTGTCTCTTTGGTAAAGGTTTCTTGTGACTTTATCAATGCAGTTGAACATTACTGCTCTAAGTAATGCCACATGTTCCTTCTGGTGATTGGAAGGAACTAATGCTAGCACTTGCTACATTGATGAGGGAGAAGGTGAAGCTCTGAAGTCTTGCCAGTGCATTTTATTCTAATTCAAATCTTTAGCTCAACCTTTTATGTGAACGCACAGCATCAGATTGTAATGATTATTTTATTCATAAAACTTCCTGAATGTTTTTTACACTTTGGGTATAAATAACACAGGTAAGTTGAATTTATGTATATTTCTAGATGCCTTTTAAACTTTGCAAATAAATGGATATTACTACATTGTGTTTTACTTAACTTGTATTTTTAAGATGAATGAAAGTTTATCTCTCCTCTTTTTGCCCATAATAAGCATAATTGTTTTAAGGCATGATTGAATGACTTGCAGTTCTTATCTGGTTGCAGGTTTTACTTTGATTCCTTTTTATAAACCATCCAATGGAGGTCTTCTAAACAAATACAGTACATTACAGATATTGTTTGTTTGACTCCCTATAACATATGAATTCTGCTCGTCTTCCAGTCACAAATTTGAATTTCATCAGTGCAGCAACATGTATAGTTCTGCTTTAAAAAAGGCACTCATGATTAAGAACAGAAATGAGTTACTTCTCAATGATAAATGAATTGAGAAGCTACCCAATGAAGATAACTCAAAAAAAAGATATGCTGTTGCCAGAAATGACCTAACTCTAACTGCTAGCTCATGACAATGTTTCATGGGAGTTAGAACACAGAATCTCATGTTTCACTGAACTGGTTTATGGCTACATGAGCTTCTTTCCACCATTTTGCACTTCACCCTATCATTGTATCCATTTATTACATCTTGGTCATGTCTTTAAATAAAGAAATGTCTCCAGAATTCCTTACTGGATTTATTGGTTCCTATTTGACATTAATAGACCTTCGTTTTGATTTCCCCTTAATGGGTCAATTTCCAAGAAATTTTGGAATTTAAGCTTGGTTATAGAGAATTTAAATTGTTTAGTTATCATGAGTTTAATTCTGGTTCCACTTTTGTATTTTGATTGCAGAATCAATTAGCAACCTTTATGAAGTCCTGAACAAATTAAACACAAAACGAGGAGTGTCAACAAATCCTACTAGTGGCTCAAAACAAACAAGCACTTCAGGCATCAATCCAGTAGGTCTCATGTAGTTGTATAATGTGCCAATGTCATTTTACTATATAGACTGACTTGTTCAGTAATCTATTACTTAGGCATTTTAAAGGAGCTTTACATATTTAATGTTTAAATGTAATCTTATTTTGTTTGTCCATCAGAGCTTTTCTGAAGATTCATAAATAATCTTGATAATTTATCTATTTGGACCTTTTTGACTGCTGTATCCTTTCATGAACACTGATTCCAGCACTAATATCTCATTTTAGTTACTGCTAATGAGTTGAGCTCACTGCTTCTATTTCTGTCTTTCATACATACCTCCCTCAGATTTTATTTTCTGCTCTACCTCAGCATCTCAATCTTTGAAACCTTCATCTTTGTATTTGAGTGCCTCCCTAGCACCCACTGAAGCAGCATTCATCTCTATAATCTTCGCTTTCTATTTAACATTCTTTATTTTATCGTCTTGTGCCCTTTCTTCTCTTTGGCCATCCATGTCCCATGCTTTGAAATTCCTTTATCTTAATTTTAGAAGTGGGGTTATGGGCTGATAATTGCACAGCATTCAGTCCAATTCTCACCATCAACATGCAAAGGCTTCATCATTTATCAAAAAACTTTATTAGGCCAATCTCACAAATGCTGCAAGGGCAAGTCAGAGTTTGGGCATTCTGCAGTGATTTGCATTCTGAATCCCCAAGACCTTTGGGGTGGCACGGTGGCTCAGTGGTTAGCACTGCTGCCTCACAGCGCCAGGGACTTGGGTTCGATTCCAGTCTTGGACGACTGTCTGTGTGAAGTTTGCACATTCTCCCCATGTTTGCACGTGTTTCCAAAGATGTGCAGGTTAGGTGAATTGACCATGCTAAATTGTCCATAGTGTCTAGAGATCTGCAGGTTAGCTGGATTGGCTGTGATAAAGTATCTATAGAGTCTAGGAATGTGCAGGCTAGGTAGATCAGGCTTCGTCAGTACGGAGTTACAACAATAGGGTGGGAAGCTGGGTCGGCGTGGGATGCTGTTTGGAAGGTGAATGCAAAGGGCTAAATGGCCTGTTTCCACACTGTGGGGATTCTATGATTCTTTGTACCATAGAAAATGGAACTTTTTATTGTTGTGAAGAAGTGCTCTCTATATGCCTGGGTGAGTGCAGTTCTGAAATCATTCAGGGCCAAGTAATGTGCTTGATTGGTAACGCATTCATCAACTTAAACGTTCAATCCCTCCACCCAAGGCACAGCATGGTGACAATGTGCAGCATATACAAAGTGTACTGTGGCTACCCACCACAGGAGCTCCTTCCAAAATTGAGATGATTACCATCAAAAAAGAAATGGTCAGTAGCTGCACATAAACGCTGCCACCTCCAAGTTCCTGTTCCAATCATGCATTATCCTGACTTGGCAATGTATCTCTCTTCCTTCATTGCTACTTGGCCAAAATTCTGAACTTGCTAGTATAAAACAGCATACTACAGATGCTGGAAAACTGAAACAAAAACAGAAATCACTGGAGAAACTCAGCAGGTCTGTCAACATCTGTTAAGAGAAAGCAGAATTAACATTTTGGCTCCAGTAACCCTCCTTCAGAATGTTCAGACCTGCTGAATTTCTGCAGCAATTTCTGTCTTGTACTAGAACTCCCAACTTACCTTAGATGTTGCCACATTGCTGCTATGTGAAGTGCTGTGCTTGAAGAAAATGACTTTGTTGAGGGCATATGGGTTATGGACGATCAATTGGTGTATGGGTATGATGCTCACCATTTTTTGCATCCCATGAGTGAATAAATCAAGGCTTCTTTCAGGGTCTTGCATGTGACCAAGCATTTGGTCACCCTTGCAAATATGTCTTCCTTTGTTTGACGTTAGTTTGTTTTTTTTGCATCTTTGAAATGAATTGGATTTTTTTCTGTGTTAGAGGCGCTACATTGTTGAAGTAGTAAAATATCACAGGTGGCATGGAGATGCCCATAAGACACCATTATTTGGCAATGTATAGGCCTTGATTGAGGCCACCTTACTCTTGTCCTGTCACTGTTAAAATTCCAGTCAACACAGGTAATTGGTAGGCATGGTACCCTCTCTTTATGCCATTGCACATTATGTTGCTCTCCTGCAAACCTGCTAGCTTGTTCTTGAGAGAATGGGACTGCACAATTCTAGCCAGTGAGCTGCTCAATACAGTTAGTGTTATTTTTCCTTTAAGCAATCACTTTGAGACTACAATTTTTTCGATTTCCTGAATGACTTAATTAAAATGTTTTAAAAATGAAATATTTGATTTGATGTGTCTTTTTAACTTATAGGCTGAAGCTGTAGGTAAAAAAATTCCTTTCACTGAATATACCTACACCAATCTGGAGCCTATTCTGTATGCTCTGGGAGTTGGCATGACAACAAAGGACCCAGACCACTTGAAATTCCTTTTTGAAAGAAACGAAGAATTCTCCTGTTTGCCTACTTTTGGGGTAATTCCTGCCCAAGGTTTCATGAATGGTGCTCTTGCATCGATTCCTGGACTGAACATTGACTTCACAAAGGCAAGTGTAGCTTGTTTTATTGACAATCTTGCACAAATTTGTGTGTAATTACAAAGCTAGCTTTTTGTATGATCCTGTCATCAGCTTGAGGAACTGACTTTAACATGTTGCACCATTACCTAACACTGTATTAAAATATTATTTCAAAGCATCTGATACATTTTCATATTTATATCACCTGTGAAGTTGTTATTATGTACTTTCTCTCAAGTTTCCAAATGCAATTTCTTTCATCGTCTCAATTTGAAGAAGTTTTGTATTTATTTGTACAAATTCTACCACAAACATCCTTGATGCCTTGTTCCTCCTGTAAGCACCCATTTGGAAGTCTTAATTATGAACTAACCCATTTTAAAACCAACTCTCCTTTAGTCCCTCCACGCTCATCTTGAAATGATGGAATTCCTGCTGGTGTATATTTTAATTTAATGTGTCTTCAGTGTATAAAGATTTCTAAAAAGATCAGCACCTCGTTGAAAAAGCAGTCCCAGTTTAAATGCTGAGGAGGAGTAGGTTTGTTTGATAAATCGTTTTTCCACTGGCAAATAGCGCATCTAATATTTCCAAGGGAGGTTTAACCAGGGGATATTTTTTGACTGAAATCAAAGGAAAAGTTAGACTGCTACTGTTTGGGGACTAAATTATATAAATGTAATGCTGAATCTCTAATATTATGAAAGTACATCGTCAGATTCTGGGAGGTGTAATAGTTTTAGTACATCTTACACTGATCAGATGGACTGGATTTAACGAGATGCTGAAGTCATCTTGAAAGTGTCCTGCTTATAGAGTTGCTGACTATTTGGATGACCAGCAGCTTTATAGTCCTAGAAGCATCAGGTGGGAGTGGTGACCTCTGTTGTCAGTCCTGATAAAGATGAACCCAGACTTGGATATGCCTGGGGTTTCTCTTAGGCCAATTTGGTAGGCTCCAGTGAGGAGGGGTGTGGGGAATTGGGTTTAAGAGGCTGTGATAAGGGAAATTAAAATGGGGAATTTTGAACTTTAGTGGATGGTGTAAGAGCTGATGTTTTGCAAGAGGAAGATGCCTCTGATGCACTCAGAGAACCCATAAAGTAGGAACTTTCCATACTGTGCCAACACCAACTTCACAGCTAAAGCCTCCTGCATGGTGTGGTCTCCCTTGCTGTGAAAAAAAAATACTGGCAAGGATGGATTGTAAGGCCTTAATGTGGCCTTGCAAAATTTCAGGCAGATTGGGGCTGAGTGAGCATTGGAAATCCATCTGCTTGATTTTACAAGACCCTCTGCTTTCAAATCAATTGTTGAGAAGGTAGGCCAAGATCCAGCCCCATGCGTATCTTCAAGGTGTTGGGATGCAGAAAGAACATTACCAATCATAGACTAAGGATAACCATTTTTTTAAAATTCATTCAGGAGATATGGGTGTTGCTGACTGGGCCAGCATTTGTTGCCATTTCTAGTTGCTAATGAGAAGTTGGTGATGAGTTGCCTTCTTGAACCATTAAGGTCCTGTGGGTCCACTTGCACCTAAGTCATTAGGGGTGAAGTGTTCCAGGATTTTAACTTTTGGTACACAATGTTAATTGGATTATACCTGAAAGATTTAATATCAAATACGACGTTCAGGAACAAATTTGTAAAATTACTATAATATTTAGGAAGTGCACCATGTAGATTTTGCAATAAGAACATATAAAACAAAGCAGGAGAAGGCCATTCAACCCCTCAAGCCTGTTCCACTATTCATCAAGATCATGGCTCAACTCCTCTTTATGCCAGTTTAGCATAGCTGTTAGCTCCCTGATGTTTCAAAAATCTGTCTACTGCTTTTAAATACTTTAATTGATCTAGCCTCCACAACTCTGATGTAGAAGATTCCAGGCACTCACTACCCTCTTGGAGATGAAATTCCTTTGCATCTTAATTATAAATGAGTGTCCCCTTAATCTGTAACAATGTCCTCAGTCCAAGATTCCCCTCTGAGTGGAATGTTTTCTTAGCACCAACTGTGCCAAACCCCCTCAGAATCTTGTGTATTTCAATAAGGGCACCCCTTGATCTTTGAAACTCTAATGAATAAAGATCTGTACTGTTGAGGTTGGTTGGCTCGCCGAGCTGGTTTGTTGTTCCGCAGATGTTTCGTTACCGTGCTTGGTAACATCCTCAGTGTAGCCTCTGATGAAGCGTCGGTGTGTTTTCCCGCCTGGTTTTTAAACTCTGGGGTCCGTTGCGATGGGTTGCCTCACTTCCGGGTTTCCTCCATAGTGGAATGTGTATGGGGTCGAGTTCAATGTGTTTATTAATAGCATGCTTCATGGAGTGCCATGCTTCCAGAATTCTTGTGCTTGTCTCTGCCTAGCCTGTCCCAGGATCTTAGTGTTGTCCCAGTCGAACAAACAGGAAGGAAACTAACAACAAGAGTACACGAACACCAACTGGCTACAAAAAGACATGACCAATACTCACTCATCTCAATCCACATGGACAAGGAGAACCACGACTTCGACTGGGACAACACCAATTTAAGAAATCATTTGTCTGTTAAAAAAATCTTATTTTTTGAATTGTCTTAGGAGAATGACAAACTTTTATTTTGCAAAAAGTATATAAAAGTGAAGATTGTGAAAACATTCCTTTCTGGCCTTACTAAGGATTCACAATTATGTAATGGGTTGTTCGTACATGTTGCAGGTGTTACATGGTGAGCAATATTTGGAGATGTACAAACCAGTACCAACTTCAGGTAATAATTTTGGAAGATTTCCTCCTGAATAATAATCTAAACACTACTGTGTTTCAGTGTATATTCTTGTGATATATGCCTTCAAAACTGTTCATTTCAATAAAGGATGAGAAATAGTGCAAGATTTTTGATAAAAGTAGACAGAGAGAAACTGTTTCCATTGGCAAAGGGTCAATAATTAGAAGAAACAAATAGAAGACTAAAGTACCAGAAAAGTATGAGATTTTTATTTTGTGCAGAAAATTGTTGATGATCTTGAATAGGTAGCCTATAACAACTTTCAAAGTGAGATTGGATATATTTGAAAATGGAAAAAAAAGGGCTATGGGGAAAGTGCAGTGGAATGGAACTAATTGGATAGCTCCTTCAAAGAGCTGGAATGGCCACAGTTGGCCAAAAGATTTTTTGCTGTATCATCCTAAAAAGCATGTTTTCCCTCCCCCCGTTTCTGATGAAGGGTCTAGGCCCGAAACGTCAGCCTTTTTGCTCCTATGATGCTGCTTGGTCTGCTGTGTTCATCCAGCCCTGCACCTTGTTGTCTCGGATTCTCCAGCATCTGCAGTTCCTACTATCTCTGATTCAATTTTTCCCAACGCTGCCTGTGAGTGCAACGTGAAAATCATCAGTGAGAACTTTGACAGATTACATTTGAAAGACCTTTACAGAGGTTAGCTTTGCCTTGAGGCTACTATTGAAGTGAAATGTTATTGGTAAGAATTTGATTACAGCAAATGGTAGCATAGCCAGTGGGTATGTTATTGAACTTACAACCTAGAAGGTGTGAACTTGAAACCATAAGAAATCATGGTTTTTCTTGCCTAGCAGCAGGAAGAAAACTGTCTATGAAAGCATCTGGATTGTTGTGAAACTCAACTGTCCTTCAGTAAAGGGCTGCCACTTCTACCTGATCTGACCTAATAACGGCAATCTTGTAAAACAACAATGTCAACTTATATTTCTGCGATGCTTTAGCAGAATGAAATGTCCGAAGGTTTCATTGAACATAGAACATAGAACAGTACAGCGTAGTACAGGCCCTTCGGCCCACGATGTTGTGCCGACCTGTTCTCCTACTAAGATCAATCTACCCTGCATACCCTACATTTTACTATCCTCTATGTGCCTATCCAAAAGTCGCTTAAAAGTCTCTAAAGTATCTGACTTGCAGTAGAGTCACAGTGGAGTTAAAAGACGATAATTGACACCAAGTCACATAAGGAGATATTAGGTTAGATGACCAAGGTTTGCTCAAAGAAAGAGGTTTGAAGAAATGTCTGAAAGGAGAATAACAAAATAGCATGACACAGATGCAGAGAGGGAATTCCAAAGTATGGGTTCTAGGTAACCCATGGCAGAGCAGTTATGATTGGGAATACACAGTAAACCAGAATTAGAGAAGAGCAGACATCTTGGAGCGTTGAAGTGTTGGAAGAGATGTCAAAGATGAGAGACCGTGTGGGTGTGACGGGTGAGGGGGTGCAGCAAAGCTATGGAAGGATTTGGAAAAAAGGTTTGGAATTTTAAAATCAAGACTGGAAGCTGATATTGATCTGCAAACATAGGATGGTAGTGGAATGGAATTTGCTGCAAGTTTGAAATAACTTCAAATTTATTGATATCAGCTGGAAGAGTTTGAAATAGTAAAGTTCAGAGCTCACTAAGCTGTGCTGAAGTGTTTCACCAGCAGATGAGCTGACATGAAGGTGGGGAAGGTCAAACAATAGAATAAGGCCATTCACATATGAGGGGATGTAACTGAAATGTGTTTCACTTAGTTTCTAGCTCCAAATTAAAACTGCACTACCTGTCAACACCACCTCATTTACTATCCCACCCACCCTTCCAAAACTTGCACTTGGTTTGTGTCTTTGTTGGCTAATCTTCCTAACCGGGTGGTCAGGTGTTATGGAGTTTGCTACCAGAATCTACAGTTTGCAGTCACCATGCTAAATAGACTGGTGGACCAATTCTATGCTTCCCTCCTGTGCACTTATTAGTTGGCTTCTGTCTTTCCATATGTCAGATAAAAGAAATTAAAGCACATTTGAATGTCAAGGCAAATGTTACTGAGTTCAGGATTTCTGATGAAGGGTCTAGGCCCGAAACGTCAGCCTTCCTGCTCCTATGATGCTGCTTGGCCTGCTGTGTTCATCCAGCTCTACACCTTGTTATCTCAGAATACTTTGTATCATTGCTGTAATTCGGAAAATTTCTGTGAAAGAAAAGCTGTATTTTGTCATTTATGACTAGCCTTTATCTTCACTCCTCCTGTTCTTGACTGTGGGTGTGTGACTTTTGAAAAAGGGTCCAGACCCGAAACGTCAGCTTTCCTGCTCCTCTGATGCTGCTTGGCCTGCTGTGTTCATCCAGCTCTACACCTTGTTATCTCTGTTCTTGAGTGTTTTGATGCCAAGAGAGTAGAGGTTTCCAGTGGTCTTGTAGCACTTTCTGGTGCACAAATACTATATAGAGCAGACAATATTGAATGTTGCTGATGCATAGTTTCCCAATTTTTTTTCTGCCCTTTGTTGGACATCCCAAAGAACTTTAAAGCCGATAAAAAACTTCGGAAGCTCAGTCAGCATTGCAGTATTGGAAATGTGGCACCCATTTTACGCACAGAAAAGGGAATGTTAATGTGAGAAAATATATGTTTTAAAGATATTGAATGAGGGATATTCAAATAATGGCAGTGACTTTCTCATCTGCCTTTTAAACATCTCATCGGAAGGATAGCACTTCAGACAGTGTGGAACTTTCTCAGTATTGTCATGTCAGCTTGGGTTCCTTGTTCAAATCTAGAAAATGGGACTTAAATCCACAACTGTCTAACTCTGAGAATGCTACCACTGAACCCTGGCTGTCTCTTCTACTGATCACTAATAGCAACGTTTGTAATTTTCATAAGCTGTAAATATATATTGATTAATTCATTATTCTTAGCACAAACATTGCAAAATGATAAATAAAAATATGAAATCTTCAAGCAAGTCAATATTCTCATTTGACTGGTAGCCAGCTGAAGAAAAATAATTAATGACCTTCATTGAATGCTCTAAGAGCGTAGCAACATATTGAGGTAGCAAAGTAGCTGGATCATCCAACTTAGTACTCTGTTCACACTTGTTGTTCGTACCCTTTGATCCCTTTGGTTTGAACAAACTATATCTCACTCCTTGAAAACATTCAATGTTATGGTCTCAACTGGTTTCTGTGGCAGAGAATTTCATAGGCTCACCACTGTCTGAATTAAGAAATTTCTTCTTATCTCAGTCCTAAATGGCTGACCTGATAACCTTAAATTGTGACTCCTGGTTCTGGACTCCCCAGTCATTAGAGCCATCCTCTCTGCATTTATCCTGTTTTAGTCCTGTTAAAATTTTAGAGGTTCCTATGAGATTCACCCCTCATTCTACTACACTCTAATGAATGTCGTCCTAACCAATCTCTTCATGCATCAGTTCTGTCATCCCAGGAATTATTCTGGTAAACCTTTGCTTCATTCCCTCCTTAGCCAAAACATCCTTCCTCAGATGAGGAGTCTAAAACTGTAAACAATACTTCAGATGTGGTCTCACCAAAGTCCTGTACTCGAATCCTGTCATTATGAAGGCCAGCATACCATTTGCCTCCTTCAGTTTCTGCTGCACTTGCGTGCTTACTTTCAGCGACTGGTGTATAAGCACCTTTTCCCTTTCTAATCTCTCACCATTTAGATAATCTGCCCTCTGCTTTGCTATCAAAGTGGATAGCCTCACATTTATCCATTGTTTACTATGTCTTCCATGTATTTTCCCATTCATTCAACTTGTCCAAATCACACTGAAACATCTCAGCATGTTCTAGACAGTTCACCCTCCCACCCACTTTGTGTCATCTTCATGCTTGGTGGCTCAGTAGTTAGCACTGCTGCCTCACAGCACCAGGGACCCGGGTTCGATTCCACCCTCGGGCGACTGACTGTGTGGAGTTTGCACATTCTCCCCGGGTCTGCGTGGGTTTCCTCTGGGTGCTCCGGTTTCCTCCCACAGTCCAAAGATGTGCAGGCGAAGTGGATTGGACATGGTAAATTGCCCATAGTGTTCGGGGTGTGAAGATTAGGGGTTTGGGTCTGGGTGGGATGCTCTGAGGGTCGGTGTGGACATGTTGGGCCGAAGGACCTGCTTCCGTACTGTAGGGATTATATGTCAAAAAACTTACATTTCCTTCTCTGATCTTAGTAATTAATATTTATTGTGAATAAATAGAGTTCTAGCACTGATCCCTGCCGTACCTTGATAGTGACTGCCTGCCAGTCAGGAAAAGAGCTATTTATTTCCTATTTGTTTCCTGTTCCCAATCCATGTCGGTACACTACCTAATGAACGTTAATTTTAAATGATAATCTCTTATGCGGGAACTTATCAAGTGCCTTCTGAAAGTCAAGAAAAATCATATCCATTGGCTCCCCCTTATCAACTCTACTAGTTACAGACTCTCAAAATTCCAGTACATTTTGTCAATCATAATTTCCTTCATGTAAATCCAAGCTGATTCTGTCCAATCTCTGTCACTGTTCTCCAAGTACTCTGCATCTTATTTATCTTATTTAATCTTATTTAATGCACTCTAGCAATTTCCCTACTATTGTTGTCAGGTTAATTGGTGTCAAATTCACAGTTTTGTCTCTACCTCCTTTTTTACACAGTGAGGTTGCATTAGTTACCCTCCAGTCTCTAGGAGATAGAGTCAATAGACTTGTGAAAGCTGATTACCAATGCATCTGGAATTTCTCAGGCCACTTCCTTAAGTACTGTAGGATTTAGATTATCAGCCTTTAATCCAATGAGTTTCCCCACAAAGCTGATTTTTGCCTCTCTCTAGACTCTGTGTTCCCCAACATTTTTGGGATATTATGTGTGTCCTCCTTGGTGAAGAGAAAACCCAACTATGTATTAACCATTTCAACTCCCCCTCCCATTCCTCAGACGACATGTCCATCCTGGGCCTCCTGCAGTGCCACAACGATGCCACCCGAAGGTTGCAGGAACAGCAACTCATATTCCGCTTGGGAATCCTGCAGCCCAATGGTATCAATGTGGATTTCACAAGTTTCAAAATCTCCCCTCCCCCCACCGCATCCCAAAACCAGTCCAACTCGTCCCTGCCTCCCTAACCTGTTCTTCCTCCCACCTATCCCCTCCTCCCACCTCAAGCCGCACCTCCATCTCCTACCGACCAACCTCATCCCGCCCCCTTGACCTGTCCGTCCTCCCTGGACTGACCTATCCCCTTCCTAACTCCCTACCTACACTCACCTTTCCTGGCCCCATCCCCGCCTCTTCGACCTGTTTGTTTCCTCTCCACCTATCCTCTCCTCTATCCCTCTTCTATCCGCCTCCCACTCTCTCCCTATTTATTTCAAAACCCCCTTCCCCTCCCCCTTTTCTGATGAAGGGTCTAGGCCCGAAACGTCAGCCTCTCTGCTCCTATGATGCTGCTTGGCCTGCTGTGTTCATCCAGCCCTGCACCTTGTTGTCTATGTATTTGATTGGTCTGCCAATTCTTTGTTGTCTATTATAATTTCTCCTGTTTCTGACTGGAAGGGATCTACTTTTGTTTTTGCTGATCTTTTTCTCTTCACATTTTATAAAAGCTTTTGCAATCAGTTTGCATGCTCCCCACAAGCTTGCACTTGTACATTATTTTCCCCCTCTTAATTAATCTTTGTCTTACTCTTTTGAAATCTAAACTACTCTGAATCCTCAGGTCTGTTGCTTTTTGGCAAGTTCGTATGCCCTTTACCTTGGATCTAACAATGTCCCTAATTTGCCTTGTTACTACGATCGGCCCACCTTTCCTGTTTTATTTTTATGCCAGATAGGAATAAAATTTTGTTACAGTTCCTCCATGAGCTGTTTAAATACTTGACATTCCCTGTCCATTGTCATCCCTTTAAGTAAATGTACCCCAATTTATCATTAGCCAGCTCGTGCCTCATATCATCATAGTTTTCTTTATTTAGATTTAGGATCCTAGTCTCAGAATCAAGTATGTCACTCCCTATCTTATTGTAGAATTCTATCTTATTATGTTCCCCCAGGGATCTTTGGCTAGATTGTCAATTATGCCTTATGCAATATGTAGTTTCAGATGGCTTGCATTACTTTGATGTCAGATAAGAGTTAACTGCTGGGTTAGTAATCAGATTATTCCTGCTTTTTGTGTATGGACCATTAGCAGACATTTTTCATATTGCTGGATTGATAGTTTTGTAGTTGTGCTGGAACAACTTGGCTAGGGATGCAGCTAGGTCTGGAGGAACACTTTGGTACTGTAGACAGAGTGGTGTCATGTGCCATAACTTTGTGGTATCCAGTGCCGCTGATGGATTATTGTGCCTCAAAGTTGCCCAGTTTTGAGTGGCTTGGTCTATTTTGATAGTATCACACAACATGATGGAAGATTTGTGCAGGCTGAACTGTGTCTCTTTTATATGGTCACTCCTACCAATACTGACATGTGCAGATGCAGCTGTGATAGGTAGATAGCCCAGTCTAGCAGCTGTGTCCTTTATGATTGGACCAGCTCAGGTGTAGTGCTTCTAGCGAGATACTTTTGATGGTTGACAGTGAAGTCCATCAGTCAGTACGTACTGTGCCATTGCCTCTCAATCTTCTTCCGAGTTCACTATGAAGGAGTATTAATTCATCAGCCAAGGAGTCTCGTTGTGGCAATCAGCTGGAGTGTTTGACATGATGTCGTGGGATTTCATGAAATTTGGCGTAGATGTTGAGGACTCCCAGGGCAACTCTTTCTGCTGCATATGACCAATTTTTGTATTACTGTGCCACCACCTCTGTTTGATGTGACAGGACATTCTCAAGGAAGGTGATTGTGGCATCAAGGAAATTTTCATGGAATCATTCCTTACTGACAATGTCAGACCTGACTGTCAAAGCTGTCCCATAGGCTAATTATGGCAAAAGTGTCCAGATCTTAGGAGCACTTTCAGGGTTGGAAGAACTAGGTGTGCTGCTGTCATTTGCTGGTCAATCTGGCTTTGTTTCTATCACACTTTAATGTTTTATGTCAATGAATGGCTTGCTAGGCCATAATGAGTGCCTGAGCAGTCTAAGTTTTTGGTGTTGCTTGATATCAGATTTGGTCACTTGCTGGTGATTAAAACAAACAGGAATTTTGTAATATTGCATGGTTTAATTCAGATAACAGGAACATGTATTGTCAATCTTTGCATAAAAATTTTATTATGAACATAGCTGTTAAATATTGGTTATAGTGTATAGAATACAACATTATTAATGTCATAAATTGACTTCACTAATCTGATGTAAGGTGATCCTCCGTTCCAAAAAACAGGAAATTAGTTGGGAGAAACAAAGATCATTTGAGTAATCATGTTTCCTATGTTTGTTAGGGACACTGAAGTCGGAGGGTGTTATTGCCGATATTCTTGATAAAGGATCAGGTGCTGTTATACTACTTGATGGTAAGTTTAGATGCCAACTGTATCATTTTAGCGAGTTTTTGATGGTAATCTACTTGGGACAGTCTTGTACTCCCACTTGATCTTTGGCTCTTATTATGTTTTTCTATTTCTTCCTTATTTGTCTGCCATTATTTTATTGAATCTCTGCAAAACAAATTTTACAGTACTGAATAAAAACTGAAAGAACTGTGGAAGCTGTAAATCAGAAACAAAAACAGAAGTTGCTGAAAAAGCTCAACAGGTTTGAGGAAGGGTCACTGGACCCAAAACTTTAACTCTGAGTTCTCTTCACAGATGCTGCCAGATGTGCTGAGCTTTTTTAAGCAACTTCTGTTTTTGTTTACTTTACTGGGAATGGCTCAATTTTAAAAAATTGACAACTTGGTTTGCTTCCTGTCTTTCAAAATGTGCAAATGCATTGCCTGTTTGTGACAAGGACAGTATTAGATGAACATGGTAATGCTATTAAATGCTTCCTGTTTAAAAACATGATACTTCTGCCCAGTAAAGGTACATGTAAGATACCTGATCAGACCTGTAACTTGAAAGCAGAATGAAAATCATGGCGAGAGACTGAGGATTTTTAGTTTCATGCACTTGAGATTTGAAGGCAGATTTGGTGATTGGATGTGTTGACGAATATCCAGCGGATTTGGCTCAATTTTGTGAACGCATGTGTTGTGTAGACATCAGTTAGAGTATTTTTAAAAAGACCTACAGTTAAACAATATCTGCACTAAATATATCTGTAACTGATTATAGATCTACTTTTGTTTCAGTTCATACATACAATGGGAAAGACTTGGTCTGCTATAATCAGTTCTCTGTATTTGCTGTGGGAGCTGGAGGCTTCGGTGGTAAAAGGACATCGGATAAAGTTAAGGTAAATGTCTGCACACGTCTTAAGCAGTTTTTGAGATCACTTGTATCAAGTTCAGTTTAGATTATTCAAATTACTATGTATAGGCATGCTTGCAGGACACAATTACTTTCCCTTTGGAAGGTGAGGATGTTGTTAAGTTCAAAATTTACTATTCCGTCAACACAATATTTATGTGCAGTTATTTCAATAGTTATGAAATTCATAATAGTTGTTAAACTGCACTCTGTTACATTCTACTAATTGAATTACTGGTAATATTCTGCGGTATTGAGGTTTAGTGATAGATATGTGAGAAATATTAAGCCATTTTTCTTCTCTTTTGAAGCATGCTAGTTTAAAATTGAATCTTTGTCCCATTTTCTGCGATTTAATTTTATCCTTTGCTGTTATGGTGCAATGTCAAGCTTTGGAACTTTAGCCCAATTTATCGCCATGCCTTCTGTCCTTCCACTGTTAGACTGCATATCCCACAGCTGGTCCTGGACGAGTCCATTTTCCTAAAATTAAATGTATTTGGAAGATCAAAGCTACTGTTTTCAGTGACATCCACAAACTCTGATCCAGGTTCACCAAGTTTGTTTGCTTCTTGGCTTGTCTTAGGCTAAACCAGCATCATCCTTTATGTCTCCAAAATCATGTTTCTGACCCCACATCCCTTTGAAATATCTCCTCTTTGCCCAATCTGCTGGAAAACATGTCCACTTTTGTTATTTCCAGACATGACTATTCAAGTGTTCTACTGTATGGTCATGCTTCATCTTCCAATCTTCAAAAACTACTGTCCAAGAAGGGGCCCGATCTGAAATGTCAGCTTTCCTGCTCATCTGATGCTGTCTGGCCTTCTGTGTTCATCCAGCTCCACATTGTGTTATCTATGCCTCCAGCATCGGCAGTTCTTACATCTCTGTCCAAATCTCTGTTGCCTCTACACCAACTCACATCTAGCATGGAATCCTGTGCCTCCCTCTGTGGTGAGTTTGATGATAGAAGAGGCATTTAATCAGATGAGAGGTGCAGGTAGGAATCCCACCACCTTTCTGCTCAATCTGATTTAAGTCTTTGGTGGGCGGAGCTGGGGAAGGCCCCCTCAACTGCCAACTAGTCCTGCCAGTGCTGAAATGAAGACAGCGGTTGTTGTGGGACTTGCTTTGCAACATGCATGGCAAGCCAGCCCTGGTGCACTTGCTTGCAAAGGAACTCGGTTTGTGAATGAGGGACCTAGTACTAGGAAGAGATGACTAACCACACCCGCCTTTCCCCCTGCTGCTCTGTCTTTCCCCCACCCCCAAAGACCTTTCTGCCATCTCCACTTCGCCATCCTCCCTCAGGTTGCCAACCCCATTTCACCATCACTCACTGTGGCATTAGGTCCCTGTTGTTCCAGCAACTGCGATTTGAAATAGTTGCTGGCCATAGGATTTGTCAGTGATCCTAGGCAGGACACCAGCCTCAGGGTCTTGATCCTGGGGCAAGGCCAGGCACTGGCTGTCATCTGCCTGATTGACCAGTAATACCTGTGGGCCTTACTGGAAAGAGATGATCCAGGAGTTATAGCAACTCTCCAGTAAGTGACTGAAGCCTCTATTGCTGGCACAGCGTTCCACCCAGAGTCCCATTTGGCCAGAAATTCTGTGCTGTCCATCTGTCATGTCTCAAGGCTCTCTGTGGCCTTGATCCTCCCTATCTTTAAGTTCTTACATCTCTACAACATTCTAAAAATTGTCTTTCTCCAGCTGTAGTTTGCCCACCGACTCCCACAGCTACCTAGAATACACCTCCTCCCACCCACCTTCCTGCAAAAATGCCATCCTCTATTCCCAATTCCTTCACCTCCACCGCATCTGCTCCCAGGATGAGGCATTCCACTCCCGTACATCTCGGTTGTCCTCGCTTTTCAAGGACCGTAACTTCCCCCACCTCACTGGTCGAGAACGCCCTCAACCGTGTCTCCCACATTTCCTGCAACTCATCCCTCGCACCCCGTCCACGCAATAAGAACCAAAAAAGAATCCCCCTCATCCTCACGTACCACCCCACCAACCTCCGGATCCAACGCATCATCCTCCGACACTTCCGCCATCTGCAATCCGACCCCACCACCAAAGACATCTTTCCCTTCCCACCCTTATCTGCTTTCCGGAGGGACCACTCTCTCTGTGACTCCCTTGTCCGCTCCACACTCCCCTCCAGCCCCACCACACCCGGCACTTTTCCCTGCAACCGCAGGAAGTGCTACACCTGCCCCCATACCTCCTCCCTCACCCCCATCCCAGGCCCCAAGAAGACTTTCCACATCAAGTAGATGTTCACCTGCACATCTGCCAATGTGGTATTCTGCATCCGCTGTACCCGTTGTGGCCTCCTCTACATCGGGGAAACCAAGCGGAGGCTCGGGGACCGCTTTGCAGAACACCTATGCTCGGTTCGCAATAAACAACTGCACCTCCCAGTCGCGAACCATTTCAACTCCCCCTCCCATTCCTCAGATGACATGTCCATCCTGGGCCTCCTGCAGTGCCACAACGATGCCACCCGAATGTTGCAGGAACAGCAACTCATATTCTGCTTGGGAACCCTGCAGCCCAATGGTATCAATGTGGATTTCACAAGCTTCAAAATCTCCCCTCTCCCTACCGCATCCCAAAACCGGTCCAGCTCGTCCCCGCCTCCCTAACCTGTTCTTCCTCCCACCTATCCCCTCCTCCCACCTCAAGCCCCACCCCATCTCCTACCTACTAACCTCATCCTGCCCCCTTGACCTGTCCGTCCTCCCTGGACTGACCTATTCCCTCCCTAACTAACTCCCCACCTACACTCACCTTTACTGGCTCCATGCCCGCCTCTTCGACCTGTTTGTTTCCTCTCCACCTATCCTCTCCTCTATCCATCTTCTATCCGCCTCCCCCTCTCTCCCTATTTATTTCAGAATCCCCTTCCCCTCCCCCATTTCTGATGAAGGGTCTAGGCCCGAAACGTCAGCCTTTCTGCTCCTATGATGCTGCTTGGCCTGCTGTGTTCATCCAGCTCTGCACCTTGTTGTCTCTCTTTCTCCAGCTGTGCCCTCTTGTGCACCTCCCACCTTCCTATACTACTGAAGCCATGGCCTTACCTGTCTAGGTTCCACTCTTTAGAAATCCATCCCTGAAACCCTCAACCTTTGTGCTCCTCTTTTAAGACATTCATAAAATCGTCCGCTTTGAGTGAACTTTTGGTTTCCTCCTTTGGCTCTGTGTCAATTTTTCTTTGGTTGTGTTCCTGAGTAAAACCTTGGAATGTTTTATTCTGCTAAAGATAATATATCTATGCATTATTTTGTTGCAAGTAGAATGTTCTGTGAAAACCTATTAGTAAGAATCTATATAATGCATTCTCTTAATATGCTTACAAATGATGAATTCTTCTTTTGTGTGATAGTCATCTATATATCAGTTCATTATTAATATCCTTGTTGTATGTACTCCCTATCCTTTAAGAACATTAATATAAATTTTGTCTCATCCAGGTTACTAAGAATCCTCCCAACAGACCTCCAGATGCCATCGTGAGTGACGTAACAAGTGTAGATCAGGTATTCAGCACTTCAAATAGACTCGATTATTAAGATATTTTTTATTCAATCTGTTCAGAGATGATATTATTCACCTCTGTACCTTTGTCAGAATGCTTACTGGACTTTAGTTGTTAACTATGCTTTCTCTGCATAGATGCTGCCAGACCTGCTGAGTTTCTCCAGCAATTTTGGTTTTTGTTTATGATTTGCACCATCTGCAGTTCTTTCTTTTATATTACTCAATTAGGGAGATGTTATTCAACATTTCAGCAGAAGCCAAGTGAAATATTAGTGATTTGTATATTATTTCCTAATTTTTTTCTTGATTGGTCCCATAAATTTGGTCAGAGATTGGTAGAAACATGATTTAGTGGTGGAAATCTACTGGTTTTCATTAGTTTTCCACCTACATGTGGCAGTATGATTTGCAATTTAACCAGAAGTTTTGGGGCTCGCTTTCTGAAATTTAAGTAACTTGTGGGTGTCTTAATCATCTACTTGCATGGTCTTCCCTGAGAGAGCTTGTTAAAATGGTTCGAGGGATTTCAGTTAGTGCTAATGCAGCTGAGAGGAAAAGTCTGTGGGAGATACTTGGTTGATGTTAAGCAAATGGAATAACTATGTTTTCAAAACCAGTAAACACCAGCTCAGTGGATTTACACGTAAATGGAAAATGGGATTAAACTAAGACCGCAGCTAGAGAAAAGGGAAATTGGTTTTAAAACAAATGCATGCAGAGCCTGAGTATTCTGCAAGAATATGCATTCACAAGACAAGACTTGTGCGCTTTGCCTTTTCCATGCAAAGTTATCCTAAATTAATGGACAGAGGTAGATATCAGTCCTTATTCTGCTGATTATTTGGACAATTATTTTTATTTTATTTTGGAAACAGCCATAACACTTCTAGTGAGACACCAGTGCATATGAAAATAATCACTGTATTTTGAATGAAAGAGGGGCAAAAGATATCATTTTAATCACTAATGGTTTCCTTGTGACATTATAGATGAAGACTGCAATTGTTTCTTTAGTTGATGAGAGGAGAAATTAACTCTTAAAAAACTTCAGTTAAGTACAACCCTTGTACTTTGTGGTCCCAAAGAAACACATTAATTCATGTATTTCACTTAAACTGCAGATTAATACAAAGTTTATTGTATGGTATAAATGACCCTGTTCTTAACATCATGTTCCATTTGTTTTATCACTGGAAGTGCTGCAAGATACTAACTGTTCACGTCAGTAATGTTTTATTTGTACGCCAGCAAATTTTGCACATCATTCATTCTACTTATTTTATTAGATGGGCATAAACATCTTGCACTCAATAGGACAACTTGCAAGAATAAATTTGCATGCTGTATAAATGTTGGTTTTCCCCTTGTATGTATATTCTTCCGAATTGTTCTGATGAGTGCAAGCTGAAAACTCAATGAAATGTGTCTTTTTCAGCAATACCTAAATATTAGAAGCTACTCGGTCAAATAGGTTTGCAAATTTAGTTGATTATTGAACATATGTTGAAATGATTTTGTTGTGCATTTATATTTATATTTTTTGAAATACATACTGTATTCTGTTTAAGTAAGTTAGGGCATGTTTCCCCATCTTACAGGCTGTTCTATACCGCCTGAATGGAGACTGGAACCCCTTGCACATTGATCCAAATTTTGCAGCTTTTGGAGGTAATTTAGTGGTAAATTGAAATAATTTATTCAAAACAACTGTATTTCTTAATGATTTTATTATTTCTGTATTGACGGATGAATAATTATGATAAAACTACAGTCATTTATTCATTTCTCATATTCCATTTCTTACTTGATCTTATCTATGCTATCATTCTTTAACTACTTAATCCTTGGCTTCCTCTGGGTCCTTGTTTGCCTGCTACCTCTGGTGACTTCATCCAAAATCATAGCCATAGTTTACATTTGCACAGGGGTAGCACCCCGCTCTATATCAGTATCATCTTTCTTGACTGTTTTCATTATGTTCAACTTTTTGTCTGATCTCTAGTATGGGGTGAGCAGAAATCCCTTCCAGTTAAATATTGGAAAAAGCAAAGACATTCTCATTGGCGTCTGCTGCAAAACTTTGCTTTGCTTTGAACCCCTAACTCCATCTGTCTTGCTGATAGCTATCTGAAACTGTTTGCAACCTTCAAGCCAGATTTAAATCTGAGATGTGTTTTCAATCACACATCTGTAGCACTGCAAAGATCTCTTCTTTTCACCTCCATAAGATCACAGCATTGCTGAAACTCTCAATCATGCTTTTGTAATCTCTGCACTTGAGTATTATAGTACAATCCTGACTGGCCTCCCACCTTCTGCCATTATAAATTTAAGATAATTTAAAACTTTTCTGTTTATGTTTTTACTTGCACCAAGCCTGTTTATCTGCCACCCTTGTGTTCACATTGGGTCCCAATTAAGCCATAACTTGAGTTTAAAATTCTCCTCCTTGATTTCTAATCCCTCCATGACCTAGCCTTCCCTATCTCTGTAATCTCCTCCATCCTAGCAGTGCTTCCAGACAGCTGTGCTCTCCAAATTGTAGCCTCCCTGAACTTCTTCATTTCTCTACCTCTCTTTCTTCCTTTGAGTTGCTCCTTAAAGTGTTTGATCAATTATTTGGTAATGTTTCCTAAAATACCTTTTGTGTTTAAGTGTTATCTTTTGCTCCTGTAAGCATCTTTGAACATTATGGTTAAGGCACTATGTAAATACAGGTTGATGACAACTATCATCTCTGAATGTGTTAGATTCTCACAAGGCTGTATTTATTGCCCATCTCCAGTTGCACTAAGATGATGGTAGTGGCCTCTCCTTGAACCCCTGCTGTCCCTTTGATTAGAGTAATCCTACATTGTTAGACAGAGAATTCTAGATTTCAACCCCTAGAAGAAATGGTGATTTGTGTCCAAGTTAGAATGGTGTGTGACTTGGGCAGGGAATGTGGCGATGAACGTTCCTAAGGCTGCTTTTGTCCTTCTTGGTAGTAGAGATCCCAGAAGATGATGATGTTGCCAGTGTAAAGTTGTTGAGTTGCTGCAGTGCATCTTGAAGGACTACACATTGTAATAGTGAGGGAGTGATTGATTCTAATTCCTGTGTTACAATCATCAATCTAAGAAAATTGCTGCTTCCAGAATAGTGTCAAGCTTCATGAATGTGGTTGAAGCTGTGCTCAATCAGGGAAGTGGTAGGTTGAGCCTTGTAGGTAGTAGAGGGACTTTTATGGGCCAGGAAGGAGGCAAGCTATCAGTTATAGAATGCCAATCTGTTGCCCTACTCTTGTAGACCAATGTTGACAGAGCTGATCCAGTCAGATTCTGCTCTGAATTCACCTGAGATGTTATGGTAGGAAACTCAAAAGATGCTGATGCTATTGAAGTCAGTAGCAATAACTTGGCTTTCCCTTGTTAAATCTAGTCATTGCTCAGCATTCATGCATTCTGCACATTACCTGTCACTCTTTAACCAAAGCCTGTAGGTTAGAAATGGAAAATGTTGGGGATGCACAGAATTTAGAGTCAGAGTTTTTGCAGCATGCATAAAGGCCCATTGGCCTACCATGCCTACCAACAAACATCCGTCTATTCTCACCCCATTTTCTAGCACTTAGCCCTTAGCCTTGTATGCTATGGAGTTTCAAGTGTTTATGCAAATAGTTAAATGTCTTGAGAGTTACCACCTGTACCATCCTTTTAGGCAGTGAGTTACAAAGCCACAACTCTCTGGACGAGAGGATTTTTCCTTAATTCCCCTCTAAACCACTTGCTCCTTACCTCAAAATTTAAGGCATGATTCATTAAGAAAATATGAGATATTGAACTTTCATGTACAAATAATTTCCTTAGAACTTGTTGCTGCAGGTTAACATATTGCTTCAACTGTGGAAGAGTTTGTTAATAGAGCTGACTACTGGAATCACTTGTAAATAGCAGCATTCCTTACCGTATAATAAATTTATTGAACCAGCTTAAATGGTTTGAGCAAAGGTAATTGCCTCTGGAGCGTCCACAGTAATCACTTAAGGTTTCGATGGTTGGTCTCTAACTACTACAACCATCTTGCTATGCATCTAATATGATTCCAGCCACTGGAGAGCTATTCCTGTGATCTCCTTTGATTTGTTTTGCTAACACTCCTAGTGTTCAGGTGAATGCTTCATGATGTTATGGGCAACTATTCTTATCTTTCTTTTCATTCAACTCTCACGCCTGTCAGACTTTTAAAAACAAAAATTAAAATTAAAAGAAAGAAACTGAATATGATCTGTTGTGATAAAAATTAGGATGCAAATGGTGTTTTACTTCTGTTTCTAACTGCCTTTCTTGCTGTTAAATACTTAAGACTTCATCTGTTTTGTTTAAAACAGAAAGGTAAAAGAAGTCTGACACTAATCACTGAACTGTATATTTTGTTTCTGTTATCTATTCACTTGTAATTTTATTTTGAACAATTTTATTAACAAGGAAAATTAATTTTGGATGAAGAGGAATACATTGTCTAATCATATTGCATGTAGCCAAAGATGCAGATAACAGTTATTGCAATTAACACTTGCCTAACTTGTTTTTGGCATTATGCTGGAGATGAGATTAATTTAAATGATACAGGTTGCGTTAGAAATTAAACTTTGAAAGGCATATAGAATGAAATCTTAAAATGTTTGCAAAAACATCATTTCAGATTGGAAGGCCGAACACGATTGCTGTTTAGCAGACTGTATATTTATTGCTGAGTAGGGAAACTGAGACTAAATTAAATTGTTGATGTTGTCTTATCCAGTTTATTTTTCAATAATCAAGCTGTTCCACAAGGAAACATGATTGCATTTCTTTCATGCAATACATGTAATGGAAGATTAATGTTTTTTTTTAATGTATATTTAAGGGTCAACACACTTTTATGTAGATCGTTTCCCTCCTAGGAAATAAAATAGGTTTAGATTTTTGTCACATTTTTGTCAAAGAGTGAAATCTATATGTACAAGGAGTGATAAAACATGTGATTTTTGCATCGGATAGTACAGTCATCTTTTTGTTAATAAATTGATTGATGAAGTAGAATTCATTTGCATTGGAAATGGAATTATTTAGCGAGCAACATTTGTGAGGACAGAATTAATATCTACTCTAACACTTAATAAATAAGAATGTGAAAATGTTGCATCTGTCACAGTGTAGAATGGTGGCATTTAAAACAAAGTATTTACATATTAAAGTGAGTATACTTCTGTACAGTAAATATGTTTGTGGTTCATATTCAAGATTTTACACAGGATGGAATTTGATAAATATCAGTTGCAAAATTGCTCAACCAGATTAAAAAATTAGATGTATAAGGTGCTTTAAACACTAAAACACCCCAAGACACATCACGCTAGTGTAATCAGGCAAAAATAAATTAATGTTGAACTAAAGAATCAGACACGAGGATGTGAGCAAGAATGTGATCAAAATGATATTTTTCAGTGTTCTAAGGAACAAGAAAGGCAGAGGGGTTTTCGGGGGAAATTCAAGAGTGTGAGACTGAGATAGCTAAAGAAGTCGTGGCAAGTCAATAACGGGATGAAGGAAATAGAAGATCTGCAAGAATCTGTAATTTGAAAGATGCAAAGCCTTGGAGGCTTTAGGGTTGTAAGAGAAGACTGGAGAGTTTTGCGGTCATAGTTCTTTATTCAGAACTATTTTTCAATTATGGATATATTTTTAAATTGTTTAACTTTTGAAAGTTATTAGGAAGCCTAACGTACTAATAATCTTTTATGTTAGTCTTTGTTTCAAGTTGTAGAATAAAAACGCAACTCTGCAGACATTCAACAGGCCCAATAGAATTTATGTAAGAATGAAGAAAAAAAACGTTTATCAAAATATTTTAAAATGTGATTTGGTGAAATTTATATCCTCTGAATTGCATTTATTTCTTAATAATTGCTAAGTACTTTCTGTAGTTGGTATTCTATATCATGAGAATTATATAGCTATTTATTTAAATTGCAACAAAAGATACAGGATCTGATAAGTGATTTCATGATTTAATGTTGTAATATTACTCAGACTATTGTATGGCAATTTTATTGCTTTGAGTTCTCGTGCGGTGTCATTCTAAGAATAAACCTTGTTATGTTTTGCAGAATTCATAACCGTGTTTGTATTAGCATGAGCAGAAATTACTTTCAAAATAATGCCGTACATGTAAAATTTGGGACAAGTTTTAAAACAAAATTTTCAAGCTGGCACATAAGGTGTCATATAAATGTAGAAAATGTGCACATATACTTAATTTGTGGAAAGCAAAGAATAACTTGGCAAAGCACTGAATTGAAATACTTTCTTAAAGTTGGTTTTACCAGTATGAAAAATAGTTACTGGCCAAAAAATTAAAATGAAGAAACTGTAAATGGTTCTTTACTTCAGGTACTAGCTAACAGGCAGATAATGTATATTTCTCTGTTAGGTTGGATTTGTGTGATGCATATAGAATTATTTAAAGTAATTGAAAAAAACTTCTTTTTCTTCACTGAAGGGTTCAAAAAACCAATTCTGCATGGGTTGTGTTCCATGGGATTTGCAGCACGGCATGTCTTGAAACAGTTTGCAGATAATGATGTGACAAAATTCAAAGCTATCAAGGTACAAAGTAGTGTTGTAATTTATAACCTAACATCCACGAAGCATTAGATAGATTGCACGTTTAGCTCTTAGGTTGTAGTTTTTATTTGTTATCTTTATTAATTATGAGGAGGACTGATTAGATCATCTCTCATTTGTGGGTCAAAATCCCAGTGAACATGATGGGATCTAAAGACACCTAATATGGCAGAGGGCAGATCTGTTTGCCACCCGCCTTGACCATCAACTGCATGACTGCTACCTTGAGTTAAAAATGAGGCTTATGTTTAATATATTAGTGGTTTATTATACAGAATAATTTACATTTAAATTTCATGTACAAGAGAAAATTTGCTTGTATAAAATTGTGCTTAATTGCTAAAACAGTAGGATATGTTAATTAAGTTCATAGAATCATAGAATCCCTACTGTGCGGAAAGAGACTATTCGGCCTATTGAGTCTGCACTGACCCTCCGAAAAGCATCACATCCAGCCACCCCCATCACCCCACATTAAGCATGGCCAGTTCACCTAAACTGCTACCTTTGGACTGTGGGAGGAAACCACAGCACCCAACGGAAACCCATGCAGACACTGGGAGAACATGCAAATTCCATACAGACAGCCACTTTGGAATCAAATCTGAGTCTTTTGCACTGTGAGGCAGCAGTAGTAGCCACTGTGCTGGTCCTTGTTACGCAACATCATTGTGTGTAAAGAAAAAACACAAAAGACTGCTGGTCTTCACATAAAGGTGTAATACCTGTAGCATTTCAGCATTTTTTAAATCATGGAGAGCTCAGAACTAAACTTTTGTATATATTTTAAATCTCTTTTGTGGTTTTTGCTGAATTTTACATATGCAAAGAAGTTAATGATTATCAGAGACTTTGTTGGACTCAGCTGCAATGATTTGTTCGATGTTTTTGATATCTGAATTATGAGATAGTAACAATGAAGAAAAAGTTGCAGTTATGAAGTAATAATCTTTTAATACAGGTTCGTTTTGCAAAGCCGGTTATTCCTGGACAAACACTAGAAACTGAAATGTGGAAAAATGGCAACCTTATCCATCTTCAGTCAAAGGTCAGGACTTTCTTCCACCTTAATGAAATTACTGTTGCAATATATTCTTGTAAATATGGGCCAGACTATTTCCTTACCATGCATGCTTGACACAAAACGGTGCATCAAAGTATCCTGCAGGTTAATGACCGCCCTTAACAATATTTCTTGCAATGCATCATGCAAACTCAAAGATGCTGAAGACTGCTGCTTATAGACCTCAACAGTCTACCTAAATTAGGATAAAATATCTCAAAAAAATTGAGATGAGGGAAAGACTGTTGATGTGGTATACGTGGAATTCCAAAAGGTGTGCAATACGGTACCACACAACAGACTTGTGAATAAACCTATAGCTAATGGAATAAAAGGGACAGGAGCAAAATTGTAATTGGCTGAGGAACAGAGTAATGGTTAATGGGTATTTTTCAGGCTGAAGAAAGGCTTATAATGAGGTTCCCAGGGATCAGTATGCTTGCATTTTTGGAATGTAACTAAATGATATAGATCTTGGTGCACAGGGATAATTTCAAGATTTGCAGATAACAAAAAAAATGAGTCAATTGTAACTGTGAGGAGGACAGTGCAGAACTTCAAAAGGACATTGTCACATTGGTGGAGTGCGAGGATAAGTGACAGATGAAGTTGAATGCAGAGAAGTCTGAAATCTGAGGGTAACAAGGAACCTTGACCTCACTCCAGGTAACCCTCTCAGGAAGACATGACAGTGCTAGTAAGCACCCAGATGGAGCATGATTCACAAACAGGGCCCCGAAGCGTCCTTTCGGGATGTTCCAGAGGTGTTTCCCTCTCCATTTCCTTTGTGTCTTTGATGCCAAAGCCTGCAGAAATTGAGAAGGGTGAGCCAGCATATGTGCAAGTTGTCAGATAGCCTGGGTCCTCCAAGCTCAAACGTCCCTGTGGGACATCAGCCAACTCCTCCAGGCTTACAGGGAAAACTACCGAGCAGGCTCTCTCCAACCCTGTTGTGGCCATTGTGTCTGCTTGGAAGCGCATTAGGAGGGAAAGGAAGGAATAAGATTGAATTGAACATCCTTTATTGTCACGAGTATTCAATACAAAATACAGTGAAAAGTATGTACGGTCGCTGTGCATAAGTGCTGTTCACATTAATTTAGAATAAAATTGTTAAAAAAAGAACTTAAAAGAGAGTTCAAACTTTCCTTCTTCACTTCCACTCTTCACTGCCACCAGAGTCCTGCTACAGGTTTCCAGGCCCACACCGTACCACCGAGAATGTCCCGCTCTGGACTTCCCAGCCCACGCCATGCCACCAAGAATGTCCCTCGGCCCCTCCATTGCTCTGGGACTCGGCCCCTCCATTGCTCTGGGGACGCTGCCCGTCCATCGCCACCTCAGGTTGCCTTCTCCCACCTGCTACTGCTTGCCCTGCTGGCTTGCACTCACTGCCCACGTGATACCGCGGGGCTGCTTCCTCATGTCCTGCTGCAGAGCTCTTGCCCGCATTGCTGCAGGCCTCACTGCTCGCGGTGTTCTGGGGCATGAAGGCTCACTGCTCTGGACTTGCTGTCAGCTCCAATGCTGTGGGGAGAGAAGAAAAAGAAAGAAGTAAAAAGAGGGGACAGTAAAAAGGAAAAGGAGGAAAAAGAACAGGCAGAGAACAGGAGCTCCGACAAGAGCATCCTACTCTGCCGCCATCTGTCTGAGGGCACGTAGGCGGCACAGATGACATTTCATTTTAAATAACCCTGCACTTTTGTGAACATATGATCACTTATAGTATAAAAGTATCTGTTCAAGTTACTTCGTAATTTGCTAGATCTAGTGAAGTCATGCCCATTTCAGATGAGCAGCATCTTTATACATCTGAAAGATGAAAGACATTTTAATGGCTAAGCCTTGCTCAGGTCTCGCAAGCAACAACTGCTTGACACATGGGTGGAGTGCGAGGATAGGTGACAGATAAAGTTGAATGCAGAGAAGTGTGAAATGAGAGGGAGACAAAGTATCAGACGACATGGATCCTTGAACAGTCAAGTTGTTGCCTGCACCTAAGGCGTTGCACTTCAGTGCCGCAACACAAAAAGCGATGTGCAGGGATAGGTGAGGCTTACCCTACATAGATCATCCACATTTACACCCACCCTTTGAATGAGAGCACAGAATCAATGATGATTCCATGTATCTCTGTAGGCAATGTTTCAGTGTATCTTTCAGCTTTTTAAAGGAGTACACTTCCTTTTGAGGCTGGGAGGTGTACAATGAGAACTTCATATGTTCACTGTCCCTCACAGCTCAATGACCTGCTGAGAAAAACTGCACAAAGCATTGCCGCTCTAAACACTGCACTATATAATGCTCAAGCATTTCATAGCAATTCAGACAAGCTATGAAACATTGAAGATAATCTAAGGATGGAAGGGCGAAAAGGAGGTGCCTCATGAGGGATTTCAGTGCAAACACTTGGATATTGTTTAGCTCCATACGATATTTCTGCTTTGTCTCACTGCTGCTTCCATCCAAACTGTAAGGAGGACCTGTAATGTGCAGATAGTTGAAGATGGAATCAGCTGAAGATACCAAGCATACATCATAGATAAGAAAACATTTATTCAGCAAAAGTTCGAGAATACAGAAATAACAAAGTCCACGTATATGAATGACCTGGGGCTACTTGCCATAGAACCAAAAGAAAGTTACACGATGTAAGGAATGCCAAACTCAGTTCATTTCTCTTGGAAATGGGTTTCAGTGATGTCTATCTGACCTCTTGGAGGGACAGTGAAATTAATAATGGTGGATAAGAGAAAAAGATAGGAATGGAAATCCTGTCGGAGAGAGGAGCAGAATTTCTTCAAGGAGGGCATGCCTGGAAGAGATGTGGCAGTGAGTTCAATACTAAATAAAATCTGAAAGAACTGCGGATGCTGTAAATCAGAAACTAAAACATAAATTGCTGGAAAGTCACAGCAGGTCTGGCAGCATCAATGGAGAGAAATCAGAGTTAATGTTTCGGCTCGAGTGACCCTTCTTCAGAATTGTGTTATGAGTATTATCCTAGTGAACCTTCTCTGAACTACCTTCAGTGAAGTAATATCTTCCCTGAAATAAGGAGACTGAGCTGCTCTCACTGCTGAGATATGGTCTCACCAGCAGAGTCAGCATGGCTTCATGAGAAGGAAATTGTGGTTAAGCAATTTAAGCAATTTGAGTTTTTCAAAGAAGTCTCAACCAGAGTGTACAGATGGAAACCAACAGGTGCGTTCTATTTGGACTCCCAGAAGGCGTAGTAAGACTTCCCTACTCTTATACGTCAAGCCCCTTGAAACAGGGGCTAAATTCAGTTAGCCTTCTGGTTACCTGCTGCTTTCTGTGTGCTAACTTTGCGTTTTGTGCACAAATACTCTCAAGATTTTTGTGCTGTAGCTTTTCCCTTTTTAAATAAAACTGTTCTTTGGTTCTCCCTTCCAAAATGAACAACTTCACATATTCCCACATTATACTCCATTTGCCAACTTTTTGTTACATGCATAACCTATCATTATCTGTCTGTAAACTGTTTGTATCCCTCTCACAACCTGCCGTTGCACTCATTTTATCATTGTCTGAAGTTTTGGCTACAGGCATTTGTTGCCTTGCTGCAAGTCATTAATATAATCTGTAAGCAGTTGTGGTCCCAGCACTGAGTCCCCTGGGACTCCACAGGTTACAGTTTGCCAACCTGAAAAAGAACACTATTCTCTGTTTCCTGTCTGTTAGCCAATTCTCAATGCATGCCAATATACTACCTCCAACACCATGGGCTGTTATCTTATGCCTTAGCCTTTTGTGAGGTACCTTGTTGAACGCCTTCTGGAAGTCCAAATGTAACGCACCTGTTGGTTTCCATCTGTCCACTCTGGTTGAGACTTCTTTGAAAAACTCAAATAAATGGCTTAACCAAAATTTCCTTTACATGAAGCCATGCTGACTCTGCTTGGTTAGATTATGATTTCCAAATGTTTTGCTATTACTTCCTTAATTGTTTCAAAAACTATTCCAACAATAGACATTCGGCTAATGAGCCTATAGTCACCTGTTTTTTGACTTCCCCTCTTTTTGAATAGGTGTGTCACATTGTAAAAGTACCAAAAAGTTAGAAAACTGCCAGACTCCAATGATTTTAGGAAAATTACTACCAATGCATCCTCTAACACTGCACCTACTTGTTTTAGGATATTAGAATGCAAGCCATCAAAGCCGGGGGACTTATCTGCCTTTAGCCTCATTAGTTGGCAACTTCTACTTCTCTAGTGATGTTGATGGATTGTAATTCCTCCCATGCATTCTTTAATATTAATGGAATGTTGAAGTATCTTCTACTGTAGTGACTGATGCAAAAAATGTTTAATTCTTCTAGTATTTCCTTGTTCCCCATAACAGTGTCCCCAGAATCATTTTCTAAGGGGTTCACTTTGATCTTTTTCTTCCTTTTTATATATTTAAAAAAGCTCTTATTGTCGGTTTTATATTCCTCACCAGTTTGCCCTCATAGTTTATTTTCTCTTTATTACCGTTTTGGTCCTCTTTTGCTGAATTCTGAACTTATCCCAGTCTTCGGGGCTATCACTGACTTTTGCCTCCTTTAAATTTTTTTTTGTTCAACTTAATATTGAATACTGAAGATCCTATACACTAAAAGGCAATACAAGCAACAGAGATCTGGCAGTTTCTAAATTAGCGCAATGCAGATAAGTATGAATAAAGTACACTTAGAGGCATAGGAATTGTCATGTGTAGATGCTCACAAAGCACTTGGCAGAAGTGCACATGTCATAAGTGTTCCTTAGGTTAAAAGTGGATCTTGGAGGGCTGAAGTGGACTGGAGTTTGTCCAAAAGTAGCCATGATGATGTATTGAGGATGGCAGTTTGGCAGGGGTGGAAGAGGACAGTGTCCACGGAGTATGCAGTGAGATAGTCTAGTTGGATGAAAGCTTGTCGAAGCAGACGAGAAGCTATGCCTCCAGGTGACCCTCCTGATTTTCACATCAGAAATTATCGCTATCGAGTTCCTTGTGAAAGGAGGGGATGATTGAGAGCTATGTACAATTAAGGTGACATTAGCTAGTAATAAGTTGTTTGTGTATGGAAATAAACTAGTCTGTGCTTATTGGTGAGGTTCAGAATTTGTCATTTAAACCTTAATGGGATGATTCGTTCCACTGCCAGGAATCTGTCTTTTTTCATTCATGCAGTATTTGCTCAACTTTCTTGCCTTCATCATATTGCTTAAGACAAAGGAGAATTCCACCCTACACATTACATAGGTTTGATGACTTTCTGATATGTCCTGCCTATGTCATGACTTAATAGGGAAGAGTGCACTGACAGTTATGCCTCACTGTTCCACAAGCTGTCACAAAATGTATAAAATCCCAATTGGATCACCAGGATGACTAATTTGTCTGACTGCTGTTCGAGTCAAAAGCAATTCACACTACATTTTGTCATTAACATAAAATAATTCCTATTTATTGTAACACAAAACTCCAACCAATGGCTGATATAAGAAAAGATTCCTAAACTTCTACTTGTGACTTAAACTATGTTCCTTTAAAACCCCAAAATCTGTGCACCCTTGCTCATGGTTAAAACCGACATATTACAGATGGAACAAAATAGATGGCAAACAAAATTTCAAAGATCAGAAGTCCAGATTTCAAGAATGGTTTAAACCATCTGTCTGAATTCCTTTTGATTTTGGCATTGATGACACATTGTTGTCATTAAAACAGTGGATTTGTGTTTTTCTTGTTAAGTTTCCTTCTTTTAAATTTCTTTGGTTTTTCTGTCTTTTAACCTAAGTCATGCTCTGCACATGTTTCAGTTTTACAGTGTATGCATCAGCCAACTAGTGAGTCCTTAAAGTGATTTGAGACCACCAATCAATATGCACGTATCTTTATGCAGGAGTGTATGTATATGTGGAGTAAGTCCATCGTCCGGTTATAACACAGCTTCCCTTCTTGGGTGTCAATATCCACATTGTATTGGTCTTCCACTGCATTTCTACTTTGATTATCTCCATTCATGGGATATTATGTCGGCCAAATAGTGCGGACCAGAGTCACATCCAGGGAAAGTTCCTTTTCTGATTCTTATTAATTGTTTAGTTGATTTATGATCACAATTCAGTTGTTTCCCTCCACTCCTAGCTCTATTTACTGAATTTGACTTGACATAGTAGATGGAAAGAAGGTGTTCCATCTTGTGGGGGAATTGAGAGTTGGGGAATGCAGTTTGAAAATAATTAATGTCCCATTTAAAACAGTTAAGGAACTACTAATCTGAATCATTAGCCTTTGGAATTTAGGAGCTATCTCAATGTTTTGGAGACTAAGTTAGATTTTTGATGGAGTCAGTGGTCGCAGAGGAAAGGCAAGAAAGTAAAGTTGTGAAGGCACAGTTAGATTAGCTCAGATCTTACTGAATGGTGGAGCTGGCTCAATGGACCAATGGCATTCCCTCCTATTTCTTGTGGTTTTTGACTTCTGTGCTCTTAGTCCAGTAGATAATCACTATATTATTTTACAAATGAAATTGGCCATGATTTATGATTTTATACTTTGAAGTTATCTATTCTGATTTACTTCTGGAGTTTGGCTGTTGGTCTATACCTGTATATTATGAATTCTTTGCTACAATACATGATGGAATTTTAAAGTTTTTAACATAATGTAAATAATGGGCACGTAGTTGATGTAGAGATAGTAGGAGCTGCAGATGCTGGAGAATCTGAGATAACAAGGTGTAGAGCTGGATGAACACAGCAGGCCAAGCAGCATCAGAGGAGCAGGAAGGCTGATGTT